TAAGCAAAATACATTACATACATCTTGATTTATCAAGATTTCAGATCAATTATCCATTTTTTAAAAAGCAAAATAGTTAAGTATGAAATGAAGTCACGGTCTAATTATTTTCAGATTATTTAAAAAATATGGAAAATTGCTTTTTTTGTCTCTATGTAAGAATTTTTAGATGATTTTTATCAAGATTTGGGATGAATTATCAATTTTTAAAAAAAGCAAGATAGGTTTGAAATTAAATCATGTCTAATTATTTTAAAAATATAATACTTATTTAAAAAATATGGAAAAATTGTTTTTTTTGGTCTCTATGTAAGAATTTTTAGATAATTTTTATCAAGATTTATGATGATATACCTTCGTGGTCGGGTCCCCCGAAGACGTCAACGAGTACCTGGCCTTCGTCAAGAAGTTCCAGTAGAGATCAGGACACTCTCTCCAGGACGGAGAAGGGATTTTTTTTGTAATTTTTGGATAATTTTTATCAAGATCTGAGATTAATAAAAAAAAGAATTAAGCAAAATACATAGGTTTGAGATTAAATAACTGTCTAATTATTTTCAGATTATATACAGAATATGGAAAAGGGCTTTTTTTTGTCTCTATAAGTATTTTTAGATAATTTTTATCAATATTTGAGATGAAATATCCATTTTTTAAAAAGCAACATAAATAGGTTTGAGATTAAATGAAGCCTAAATATTTGAGATTATATAAAAATATAGAAAAGTTATTTTTTTTTGTCTCTATGTAAGAATTTTTAGATAATTTTTATCAAGATTTCAGATCAATAATCCATTTTTTTAAAAGCAAAATAGATAAGGTTGACATTAAATTATGGTCAAATTATTTGAGATTATATAAAAAATACAGAAAAGTGCTTTTTTTGGTCTATGTAAGAATTTTTAGATAACTTTTATCAATATTTGAGATGAATTATACATTTAAAAAAAAAGAAAAATAGATTTGAGATTAAATCAGTCTAATAATTTTCAGATTATTTTAAGAATACAGTAAAGTGCTTTTTTTGTCTATGTAAGAATTTTTAGAAAATTTTTATCAAGATTTGAGATGAATCATCAATTTTTTAAAAAGGAAGATGGATAGGTTTGAGATTTAATCACGCCTAAATATAAAATAATATGTTAAAGTGCTTTTTTTTGGTCTATTTAAGAATTTTGAGATGATTTTAATCTTTGAGATGAATTTACGTGTAATTATATTCAGATTACATGAAAAATATGGAAAAGTGCTTTTTTTGTCACTATGTAAGAATTTTTAGATAATTTTTATCAAGTTTTATAATGAATCATCCATTAAAAAAAAGCAGAATAGATAAATAGGTTTGAGCTGAAGTCACGTCTAATTATTTTCAGATTATTTAAAAAAAATACGGAAAAGTGCTATTTTTCTGTTGCTCTTAAAGAATTTATAGATAATTTTTATCAAGATTTGAGATTAATCATCATTTAAAAAAAAAAGCAAAATAGATAGATAGGTTTGAGATGAAAGCACGTCTAATTATTTTAAGATTATTTTTAAAAATATGGAAAAGTGCTTTTTTTTGTCCCGATGTAAGAATTTTTAGATAATTTTTTATCAATATTTGAGATGAATCATACATTTTTAAAAAGCAAAATAGATAAAGCTGTTTTTTCCATAAAGGATGGATTTAGTTTAAATCTACCATGATGCCGGATTTTTTTGTCCCTATGTAAGAATTGTTGGATTATTTTTATCAATATTTGAGATGAGTCATAAAATTTTAATATTTTTTTTTAAACTTTATTTTTCTTTGTTGACAATTACACAGTGTGAACAAGAAAAAAGGAAACGTTTAAAAAAAAAAGCAAAATAGATAATGTGTAGATTGGTTGTTCTCACTGCTGGTTTGAGATTAAATCACTGTCTAATATCTAAAAAATACATAAATAAAGCCGTTTTTCCAGAGAGAATGGATTTAGTTTAAATCTTCCATGATGCAGGAAGATTGTTTGATGGACTTGTTTTATATGTAAACTTTAATCCTGAAATAAACCTTTTATTTCTCATTCCCTGATTCAAAACTCTTGTTTCTTTACTGCTTTTTTCACCAAAAAATCTGTTTAAAGCGAACTATCGATTTAAATTCTCATCATATTTTTGTTTTTCCCACTTCAGAAGTGTAGATTTATAATCAGAATAAACAAGAATATAAATGAACGAACCCATTTTCTCTTTTTCCTTCTTTGAAATAATATATTCTCAGACTTTGAGCGGACTTGCCCTTTAATTGTTTCCGTCTGTCCTGGTTTGCTCGGTTACACAACACATTCCTCCAGATCAAACCCAGCTCAGCCGTTTGGAGAAAAGAGAAAACAGACATTCAAACTATTGTTTATCCAGTCAACAAGCGACTGGAATCATTCAGAGAATTCATTTTCATGAGAACTTCCTCAAAGCTTTAACTCCCACCTTGTAAGAGTATTTAAAAAGAAGGTTTTCTCCTCTTTTTGTTATAAATAAAAGCATAAAAGTCATAATAGTTGACTGAGAGGCAGAAAAAGGGACTTTGATTTAGAAGTAATAACAACTATCGTCTTAAAAAATAACTAAATAAGAACAAACCAGATTCAAACTTTCCTTGGAACTGGGTTTTGATGCAACTCTGAACAGATTTTTCCAACTAATTTCATCCTCACAATGCAGGAAATTCCAGATAATTTACACCCTCTGGTTTGATAATCATCAGACAAGACTGGTGGAAAGAAATCAATTAAATAAATAAAAGATAAAGGAAAAGAAAACAGTTTTTTTTTTTTAAATAGAAAAAAATATACAATTATTTAAAAATATTCATTTAAATGGAAAAGAAAGACAAGCAAACAGGGTTCAAGTGTGGAAAAGAAAACTTCCACTCTTTGTGGAAAACCAAAACCACCAGATAGTCACCAGAAGACCCAAAAAAAACAGAACTTAGTTTGAATTTTTAAAAAGAAGGTTTCATATCATAATAGCTAAAAAAAAAAGACTTTTAAATGTCTTTGTTTTGGCCTCTATTTTGTTTGGAAGAAGCAAAAGTCTGAACACAGGACTAGTGTTTCACAACTTTAATTGATCACAGTAAAAGTAGAAAATAAAAACCATTTACAATGACCAAAGCCGAGTAGCACACGCATCTGTACAAACACACGAAAAACAAAAGAGGAAAAAAAAAAAAATCTACAATTTCAAAAACGATGATAAAGTGATAAAGTGGCGTAAAAACCAACCAGGACAAAAAAAACGGCGGCATTCCCTAAAAACGAGTTTTCCTCCTGCGAGACGCTGCAGAATCTCCTGGAAGCGTCAGAAACCGGCTAGAACCAATTAGAACCAGTTAGAACCGGCTAGAACCAGTTAGAACCGGCCAGAACCAGTTAGAACCAGTTAGAACCGGCTAGAACCAGTTAGAACCGGCTAGAACCAGTTAGAACCGGCCAGAACCAGTTAGAACCGGCTAGAACCAGTTAGAACCGGCCAGAACCAGTTAGAACCGGCTAGAACCAGTTAGAACCGGCTAGAACCGGTTAGAACCAGTTAGAACCAGTTAGAACCAGTTAGAACCAGTTAGAACCAGTTAGAACCAGTTAGAACCAGTTAGAA